TGGCTGACAGGAAGCCACCACAGGCTCTGAGGGGAAGTAGCAATAATTTAATAACGGAAACCTGCTCTCCAACTGCCTAGGTCCAACTCCTAAGATGGCACCTCTTCTAACGGCCAAAAGATGAAATATCCCAGAAGTCTAATTTCTAAAAGAAAATGTCAATAATCTGAATCAAGTTAATTAACCATTTTTTCATGCATTCAGTATAGTTAACCCAACAAAAATGTTTTTATTTGATAATGAATAATTGGCTTGGGTTACGAAGTTCAGTGAATAATGACATCAAAGATCACGAAATAAACTTAGCTATGCACAGGCTCATTAATGAGCTGCCTTAATCAGTTCAAAGTAATGACTTCTTTCTTGAGCAGAAAAGAGCAAAACCCAGTTTTTTGTTTTTTTTTATTTTCATAATAGTTTACATCGTCGTGAAATTTCAGTTGTACCTTATTTCTTGCCTGTTACCACACAAGTGTTCCCGTTCACCCCCTGTGCCCACCCTCCTCCCCCCTTCCCCTGGTAACCACTGAACTGTTTTCTTTGTCCATGTGCTTGTTTATATTCCACATATAAGTGAAATCACCTGGTGTTTGTCTTTCTCAGTATGGCTTATTTTCTTTAGCATAATTCCCTCCAGGTCCTTCCATGTTGTTGCAAATGGGATGATTTTTTTTTTTTTTTATGGCTGAGTAGTGTTCCATTGTATGTATATACCACTTCTTCTTTATCCAATTATCAGTTGATGGGCACTTGGATTGTTTCCATGTCTTGGCTATTGTGAATAGTGCTGCAATGAACTTAGGGGTGCATATGTTACTTTGGATTGTTGATTTCAAATTGTTTGGGTAGATACTCAGTAGTGGGATATCTGGGTCGTATAGTAGTTCTGCTTTTAGTTTTTTGAGGAATCTCCATACTGTTTTCCATAGTGGCTGCACCAGTTTGCATTCCCACCAGCAGTGTGTAAGGGTTCCCTTCTCTCCACACCCTCTCCAACATTTGTTTTTAGTCTTAGTGATTATAGCCACTTTAACAGGCGCAAGCTGGCAACTTAGTGTAGTTTTGATTTGCGTTTCCATGATGATTAGTGATGTTGAACATCTTTTCATGAGTTTATTGGCCATCTGTCTATCTTTGGAAAAATGTCTGTTCATATCCTCTGCCCATCTTTTGATCAGGCTGTTTGTTTTGTTGTTGTTCAGTTGTGTGAGTTCCTTATATATTACAGAGATTAACCCCTTGTCACATATATATTGTCTCCCAATTGGTGGGTTGTCTCTGTTTTGATTCTAGTTTCTTTTGCCTTGCAGAAGCTCTTTAGTCTGATGAATCCCCACTTGTTTAGTTTTTCTTTTGTTTCCCTTGTCTGAGAAGACATGGTATTCGAAAAGATCCTTTTAAGTTTGACATCAAAGAGTGTACTACCTATATTATCTTCTAGGAGTTTTATGGTTTCAGGACTTATCTTCACGTCTTTGATCCATTTTTAGTTTATTTTTGTGTATGGCGCGAGATAATGGTTTACTTTCATTCTTCTGCAAGTAGTTGTCCAGACTTCCCAACACCATTTATTGAAGAGACTGTCTTTTCTCCATTGTATGTTCTAGGCACCTTTATCAAAGATTAGCTGTCTGTAGATGTGGAGTTTTATTTCTGGGCTTTCAGTTCTGCTCCATTGATCCGTGTGTCTGTTTTTGTACCAGTACCATGCCGTTTTGATCACTACAGCTTTGTAGTACATTTTGAAGTCAGGGATTGTGATGCCTCCAGCTTTGTTCTTTTTTTCTCAGGACTGCTTTAGCAACTTGGGGTCTTTGGTTGCCCCATATGAATTTTAGGATTCTTTACTCTACTTCCGTAAAGAATGTCACTGGGATTCTGATTAGGACTGCACTGAACCTGTAGATTGCTTTGGGTAATATGGACATTTTAACTATGTTTATTCTTCCAATCCATGTGCATGGAATCTCTTTCCATCTTTTTATGTCATCATCTATTTCTTTCAATAATGTCTTATAGTTTTCAGTGTGTAAGTCCTTCACCTCCTTGAGCAAAACACAGTTTTTGATCTTTCCTTAGAATCAAAACTCAAGCTATGGAAATGGGGACGTGCGAGAGACAAGATTCAGGATGGTGTTAAAATTTTAGCCTCTACATACTTTTTTCTTCCTATCTTCCTGTCTGTGAGATGAAAGCTGCTCCTACAAATATTAATAAATTGTCATAAATTCATTTAAATGATGAAAATATTGAGTTAAGTGAAATTACTAAGATACTGTCAATATATAACTTAAGCTACTATAAGAAAATTGCAACATATTTTACACATAATATAACATGAAAATATTATTATAAACAATACTATGGTATTAGGAGTTAAATATCTATTAAAAATGACAAATACCTTTAGTTTAAGGCATCTTCCAGTTTACTTTTTAAAAAGAATTTTTTATTAAGGTGAGATGCACATAATTATAAAAGTAACCATTTTAAAGTAAACAATTCAGTGGTATTTAGTACATTCACGATGCTGTGTAATCACTACCTCTATGTAATTCCAAAAGATTTTCATCACCCCAAAAGGAAACCCCATATCCATTAAGCAGTTGCTCCTCATTTCCCCCTCCTCCTTGCCCATTAACCACCAATCCGCCATCTTTCTCTATGGATTTACCTACTTTGAATATTTTACATAAATGGACTCATATACAGTCATGTGCAGCATAACGACATTTTGATCAATGACAGACCTCATACATGATAGCGGTTCTGTAAGATTAGTACCACATAGCCCAGGTGTGTAGTAGACTGTACCATCTAGGTTTGTGTAAGTACATTCCGTGATGTTCACACAAGGATGAAATCGTGTAATGACGCATTTCTCAGAACGCGTCCCTGTCATTAAGTGATGCATGACTGTAATATACTACTTTTTGTGTCTGGCTTCTTTCACTTAGCATAGTGTTTTTTAGGATCATCCACGTTGTAGCATGTATCAGTGCTTCATTCCTTTTTATGAATAATATTTCATGTACGTGTATAACACGATTTATGTATCCATTTACCCACTGATAGACATTTGGGCTGTTTCCACCTTTCGGCCTTTGGAAACAGCACTGCTATGAACATTTGTGTACAAGTCTTTGTATGAACATGTCTTTTTAATTCTTTTGGGTATATAACTAGGAGTATTTACTGGTTCATATAGTAATTCTATGTTTCACTTGTTTAGGAACCATTAAACTGTCTTCCAAACAGGCTGCACCATTTTCCAATCTCACCAGCAATGTATGAGGGTTCTAATTTCTCCACATAGTCCCCAACATTTCTTATCTTCTGTTTTGTTGATTATGGTCATTCTAGTGGGTGTGGTTTTGATAGGCATTTCCCAAATGAGTGACAATGAGCAACTTTTCATGTGCTTACTGGCCACTTGTAGATCTCTGGAGAAATGTCTTTTCAAGTTCATTGTTTTTTAAAACTGGGTTGTCTTTTTGATGTTGAATTGTAAGAGTTCTTTATATATTCTGGATACAAGACTCTTATCAGATATATGATTTGCAAATATTCTCCCATTTTTTTGGGTTGTTTTATCACTCTCTTGATATTGTCCTTTGATGCAAAAACGTTTTTAATTTTGATGAAGCCCAATTTTTTCTTATGCTGCTCATGCTTTTAGTATCATTTCTAGAAATCCAAAGTCATGAAGCTTTCCCCCTGGTTTCTTCTAGAGTTTTATGGTTTTAGCTCTTATATTTAGGTCACTGATCCATTTTGAATTAATTTTTTATATGATGAGAGCTGGGCGTCCAACTTTTCTTTTGCATGTGGATATGCAGTTGTTCCAGCACCATTTGTTGAAGAATATTCTTTCCCCATTGAATGATCTTGCCACTTTTTTCAAAAATCAACTGACTATAGATGAATGGGTTTATTTCTGGACTCACAGTTTTTAAAATTTTTTAAAAATACAGAACGTTCTAGTCTATAATTTTACCACTACTTTTACCAGAGGTAGTTTAGCTTATAATGGTGTATTAGGAACTTTCATTTCAAAACTAGAATTTTTAAATGAAAAATACATATCCATAATGAATAATTTCACTATTAAACGTTTCTTTAAAAAATAAAGCTGAGAAGTAGCACATGCAAACCGGAAATTAAAATCAATCTCTACAAAATAGGATTTTATGAAGCATGATGTGATTTCACTGTTATTTACCATGTTGTGATGAAGTCATTCTTTTTAACTGCCTACCTTTTACAAAGCCTCCCATTTTACAATTAGTAAGGAACTTTTACTCAGCCTCTTAATGTGGTTATTACATTAAATGTCCCTGATATCAGTCTTGCCGAATTACCTGTGTCAAATTACCATCTGATTCCAAAAAAGAGATGGATTATAAATCAAAAGAATGTTTTATCATCTAGAACTTTTTATTAACATCCAAGTTTCCTAATGTGAACTATCTACTGACTTTAAAGCTTCTCGTGGCACAGTGGATTTAAGTACCAACAGAGCATGGTATTGTTTGGAGAGAAAGAACACCACTACTTTAGACACAAGCTGGGCATTTCTTCCAAACAGCCCCTTCTCCCTCATTAGTTTTTCTGGGAAGATCTATACTGCCATCTCCTCTGAGCTCCCAGTGCCTCCAACCACCTAAGCCAATGCAAACAACTGACTTCCCTGATCACGTGTCTCTACAAGAGAGGATCACTTACGTTTGTAACTGGTGAGGATTCTCCATACTCAACATCTCTAATGAAAACATAAGCTCCCCTACCAGAACATCCAGAGTTCTCCTTTATCTTGAATCCCCTCTGCTTACAGGCTGTAAACATTGGATGCTTAGCTTCATCACAGTTCGTTTAGATGCAAAGATAATCTTGTTTTTATTGACCAAAAAAGGAAAAAAAATTTTGCCAAGAAAAACAAGGGATAAAAAGTTCTGGAAGTGCTGATAACTGTAGTCTAGAAAACATGTGAAAAACTTTACCTTTAGCTGGCCAGTGATGTCGCGGCAGCTGACTGTCTTACCATGCAAGAGACTAAGGTTCAGGGTCAGACCAACGGTTCTGACGTCCTGGGCTGGACACATAGTTGAAGTGAGACACCAAGGAAGAGACGGCCAGCCCAACCCCTCACACAGCATCCCTTCCTGGTTAATCCATGAGGTGATAATGACACTGACTGGCCTCATCCTGCCAATGAAGGGCAAGGCACTGCAATGACGGCGCCTAGAAATGAATAGGAGTGATTGGGAATAAAAGGGGGAGGGGGAAAGGTGGCCAGGATGAAGAAATGAATAAAACTCCAGATTTCTGTTACAACTCACTGTCATACCTATTATTCTAATATCATAATGACAGGGGTAATGGAAAAGAAAAAAAAAGAAAAAAACAGAAAAATTGCTACCTATTTAAATTTATGCAACATTCTAAGAATTTGGGTTTGTAGCCTACAATCTGACTAAATATAACTAGAGCAAGAGGTTGATTCAATTTAGCTCATAAACGTATAGCTAAGAAAAGAATATTTTTATCATCAGTCTTTCTAAATTCTTACGATTTGGTTTTATTTCGTTTTTATTACAAAAACAACTCAGTCCACGCTATTGAAAGAGACCATACTTACCACACAATTCCTTGGGCTCCAGAGCCAATAGGTTTCAACTGTTGGTAACGTTTCAGGACAGTGAAAGTTGAGTCTGCCACTTGCACACTGTAAAACTGACTATCACATTTACTGTCACTCATGATGTAGTGTTATATAATACTCCAAAGAGCTGGGAGAGTCGTCAGATTCCTTAAAAGAAAAACAGAATGAATATGCACTCTTACTGAAATTATACATGCATAGCTCACTTAACAGTGTTTCAAATTTATTGGCAGAGAAGATGATGCGGCTGTAAGTTGATAAACTCAGTCTGACCAAGTTCTGAAGTTAAGCAACATGCAAAAAATGGAAACACATTTCAGGGGTATCAGGCCATTATGAAAGGAAGGAAATCTGAGGCCCTGTATGACCACACTTTAAGGAATTGGTTTAGAAAATAACAAACTTCGGAGAAAAGAATTTGCACATTTTTACTAGCCATGACAAGACCACGTCACTCTCTGATTCTCATCAGCTTGCTTCCTGTGGGACCAGCTTACGCTAAATTACCTCAACCAGAGAGGGAGGTGCTGTTTCAGAATGATCATGTCTATAATTCCCGCAGGAAAACAAATGGACCTGTCTTCTGCTAAGTCCATAAATTCAAGTTAAAGTGATGAAGCAAAAAGCAAGTCCTATGCCAAAGAGATGTAAAAGGGGAAAGCTGAAGAACAGTGGGCTGCTGGGAGGCTGGTGCCACAGGTGTGTCCTATGCAGGCCCACTGGTACGCTCCTGCCTTGTGAGGTGGTCTTGGAGGCGACCTGTGGTCCCCACACCCTATGTCTCTAATGGGCTTCACTCCAGACATGGTAGACAGAGAACTCTGTCATGACCCGCAATCAACAGCACGGATGCTATGTTATTCACGAGGTCTAAGTATAAACTGGCAGCCCGAGAGTGGCTGTCCTATGGTTTAGACGGGAGGCTGAGACGCCCACTCTGCAGGAGCCTGCATGATTTCATACGGCAAACAAGCAAACAGAAATCAGCAGGCAGCAACATTTACTTGGTTCCTTGGCTCTTGTCTGACAATGTTTATTAAAAGGTCAGCAAGCCATTTATTTCGGTCTTTTATTAAAAATTAAAGTGAACAATAAAATCATATTAGATAAACATTCTACACTGTTTAAAAACACAGCATTTAAATTTTATTCTATAGCTCCAGCAAATTCCTGCCTGTGTGTTCTACCATCTAATATTTAATGTCTACTCATGAGTGTTTTGGAGTGATGATTTGTATTTCAACACATGATGTCTAGGATTTCCATTAAACATGAATATAAATTGATAAGTAACAAACCTAAACAAAGAATTTAAATAAAATGAATAGTTTCTTCAACTGACTATTGCTTCATGCTTTTTTGCTGTTCTCAGGGCAGTCAGTGGCTGGAGCACAGCTCTTAGTACCACCAGCCACTGCAACTGAGAGCCCTCGCACACCTGCCGGGGGTGCCTCCAGGAGGCCAGCCCTGCACTAGACAAACCAGCACACTGCTCACGACAACTTGCACAGCAGGGCTGTCAGACCCACGTTACAGGGGAGTGACCCAAGGCTTAGTGAGCTGGCCACGCCACGCTGCTGTGAGGAGGGGGCCCCAAGGTCCAGGAGGGCAGGGGCAGGTCTATCTTCTCACCCTGGCATCCCACACTCCTGAGACAGGAGGACAGGGACTGCCTGGGCCCTGGGACAGCAGGAGCGTTCAATAAACCTTTGCTGATCTGACCCATAATACAGCATCTAACGATTCCTTATAATGCTGTTCCATTTTACTGACATCTGAAGGATATCCTTTTCTAAAGGTTAATTTATTTATAGTTTTTAAGAGGCTGAGACAATTCAGCTCAACATTTACAGGGTTCTTTGTACAAGAAAGTGATATGTAATGTAGGAGACACAGCACTATCAGCTGGCAACCAGTCTTGAAACAGCATATAATTCACTATTTGAGGGAGAAGTGTGAGGAATGAGTCCGTTATCTGTATTGTAATACAAGTTACAACGAGGTAAGGGCCATATGCAAAAAATAACAAAGGCAAAAAGCAAAAGAGTTCCTAGCCATGGGCAGGAGTGCAGAAGACAAGGAGCCTTTCATGAAGGTGGCATCTGCCCTGGGCTGTTTTGCGAGAGACAGACAGTAGAAGCACAAAGCTTAAACTGACTGCTCAGACTAAGTGAGTTGCTCAGCTTGGCCAGTGGGGTGCAAGCACTGAGGATCAGAGACAGACTTGGTGAAAAGGCACGTAGCCACTACAACCTGCTGTTCTTTGCCATATTGTAATGTACCAGCAGGGCTGGTCATTGATAAAGCATTTCCTGGGCACCACTGTGGACGAGGTCCTGTGCCAGGACAGCCAAGTGCACGTCCTCGGAGAGCTTACAGAGAGCGCACACGGCGGGCACACTCAGGAAGAGACCGGATGCAAGAAGAGCCCTAAACCCAGAAGGATGGAGAAGGTGTGGGGAAGAGGAGGAGCATGCACAGAGAGCTAGAGGTACCTTCTGAGCATGACAAGTCATTTGAGATTTAGTTTTGCTGGCTAGTGGGGAAGAGAAGCTGGAGAGAGAAAAGGAGGCCAGATCACCACAGGCCCTGGAAGCTGCTTGGAGCCATCTGGACCTGGGCCCTGAGGGCTGTGGAGCCATCAAAGCACCAGAGGCACGTGCTCAGACATGCTCTTCAGATAGGTCATTTGGGAAGCTGAGAAAGGGATGGATTCAAGCAGGCAGGACTGAAGACAGGGAGACCTGGCAAAAACAGTAGGATAATGGCAGGTGGGGAAATGCAGGGCTTGGAGGAAGAACGTACGTGACTTGCTGACCCAGAGGAGACAGGAGAAATGAGGGTGAAGCAGCTGGGGGTGAGCAGAAGATACACACACAGCGAGCAAGTTCAGCTTTGGACAGGGAAGGGGTGAGCCGCATGAAGGCACAGGCTGCTGACGGATGTGCTCCAGGGTCCACTCTGCCCTTGTTCGCTTTAGAAGCAGAAGCCGCCTCATTCCAGCGGACAAACGGCTACCAAACTAGAGACAGCATCTGGCCGCTTTCCTGGCAACCAGGTGTGTCCAGATGATCAACTTTTGGCTAATGAGATTTGGAAAAAAAGTGATATATGCTACTTCCAGATTTTTTTTTTTTTTTTTACAGAAAGCTGCTTGCCGTCCACTCCATCTATCTTTCTCCCTTACTGCTGGCTAGGGATCAGCCGTCGTAGACTTGGAGCTGGAAGTCACATGCTGAAGAAAACAGAGCTGCCCACCAGCCAGATTCCTGAATGACCTGGGGCTCAGAGCTGCCCCCCATTCTGGATCACCTGCACACATGGGACCAATACGAATTAATCTCAACCTCGCTGAGCAACCCTGAAACTCTGCTGCAGCTGCAGTAACCTATGCTGTACGGGTACAATATTAAGTTAGCTTTAGTGAATTCTGGGAGGACATTACATCAATAGGTTCAAGAATTACTGACATAATTTCATTGCAAGATTTAAAATAATCTAAAAATTAAAATAAGTTTCCCTTATTAGGCAGAAAAAAAAACACCTAAGAGAGAACCTGTCAAAGCTACCTTCTCTGTCAAGCTCAGGCTTGATGAGAGTAAGAGAAAGAAGCTCAAGGCAACCCAAGAATGTATGTAATTTAGCCATTAATGAAATCAACTCTGTTGAGATCATATTTCAACAAAATGGTCCTCAACTGGATTTCAGAAAACAGTTCACAAAGGGGGAAGTATAAGCATTCTTCATGTGACCACAATACCAGGACATGAAGTGCAGTTGCTGCCTCCACTCCCCTCACCAGCGGGTGCTGGTTTCTCACCTCGGCTCCCAGCAGTGGGACCCGGTGCCCGCCCACGCTGCTGCTGCGCTGTGCAGCCCAGTGGGCACTGCACTGTCACTCGGCTTCTGCAGGTCTGTCTCTGCCTCCCTCCCCCAGGCTGGGAGCTCCTCAAAAGCGGGGCAGGCCTGTCTTCCCTCTCACACAGCACTGTTAGATAACTTAAGGAAATGTCTAGTGCGCACCAAGGATGCAGTGAAAAAGCCCCTAGGGGGACACACTTTGCTCCTTGGGCTCCTCACACCTGACTGTGGCGAGTGGACGCCTCGAGGGAAGGACTCGGCAAGGCCTCACTAGAGGCATCCGGCTCATGACCATGCCATTCCCCCTTCCTATGCTGTTTCGAGAACGCTTGTTGAATGAAATCTAATCTAAAATCTCTACTTCACCAAGACTGGGGACTCTTGCAGAATCCCCTCCAGGATACTGGAGTAAAATCTACCCACTCTATAAATAAATATCGTGCATGAGGAACATTCCTACCTGTTTACAACTGAGAGTAAGAAATGCTTTTTTAAAAAATTTCTCTAACTCCAGTATTCTTCCAAATATAAGCAATTCACGTACTATAAATATTAAATCTCATTAATTTTTCTAAATCAAAAAAATCTACTACAGCTTTACGTAGCTATCAAATTTTAAAGTGGGAAAGAACAGTGGAGAGCAGTACACAGTCCGAGTCTGGAGACATCAGCTACCATTCACTGAGTTCGCCCAACAAACATTTCCTGAGGGCCTCCTGTGTGCCAAGTGCAAGGCAGGCGCTGTGGGAGCGTGCTAACCAGACAGTCCCTTCCCTCCAGCTGCCAACAGCATAATCACTACACCACACAGGAAACATCCAGGAGTGTGCACAGGCCGCAAGGCAGGAGCCCAGCAGAGCGGTGTCCAGGGGGAGGAGCAAGTGAACGAGGAGAGGAGTGTGTGAGTGGGAGATGAATGTAAAGGCAGGCTTCCTGGAGGAGGTAAGACCTGAGCACAAGCTTGGCACTGCAGCCCAGGTGTGGGGAAACACGGACTTTCATACATGCTGACGAGAACTGTAAACTGGTAAAACATCTTTTAGAAGTAAAATAGGTAATATCTAACGAAAATTTTAAGTGGACATGAATCCTAATCTGGCAACTACAATTCTATAACTGTATCTAACAAATATATGTATATGAATATCCAAAGATTTGTGAAAAATGTTTCTAGCATTTCTTATAACAGGAAAAATATTAGAAATAATCTAAAATATACACTGTGGATTGTCTCAATAAATTATGGC